CATGCAGAAAGACAATTGTTTTTATATATTAATGTTGCATCCTGTGACATTCATGAACTTATGTATTATTTTTGTCAATATATTTACCTTTGCCAGTGTTCCTCACTTTTTTTTGTGTTTCAGGTCTTGTCTGGGTATCATATGCTTTTATTCTAAACAATTCTATAGAATTTGTTGTAAGGCTATTTTGTTAGAATACCTATAAATGTTTTTACTTTATTTTATTTATTTTTTGAGTCAGGATCTTATTCTGTTGCCCAGACAGGCTGAAGTGCAGTGGCTCAATAGCAACTTACCACAGCCTCTACCTCCTGGGCTCAAATGATCCTCCTACCTCAGCCTTCTAAATAGCTGGAACTATAGATATGTTCCACGATGCCCACCTAATTTTTAATTTTTTGTAGTGTTGATCTTTGTTGACCAGGCTGTTTTTGAACCCTTGGGCTCAAACAATCCTCCTGCCTTGGCCTCCCAAAGTGCTGGGATTACAGACATGAGCCACTATGCCCTGCTGAGAATGTTTTTATTTCACCTTAATTTTTGTAAGTTTTCTTTGCTAAAAAATTATTGATTGATATTGATTAATAGAAGTTTTTTCCAGCACTTTGAGCTCATTATTCCATTATCATTTTGCCTACATTTCTCCTGATATAAGCTTAGCTACTAATCTCATACCCCTTAATTCTCATTAAACACTCTCCTGCAAGATAAAACATTTACTATTGGGCATTTTAGAAAAAAAGTTTACTTATTTATTTCCAAATAGTGCTAGGTAGCCTGGTTCCTGGAGTGAAGATTATATGGATTAGAACCCCCAATAACCAAAATGGATATGTAAGGTGAGAGAAAAATTAATATTTCGTTATTTAAGTCATTAAGATTTTGGAGTTATACACAATAAATATATACAATTTTATCTATAATTTAAAAGTTTTATTAAAAATATTTTAAAATGTGCACTAAAATTTTTTAAAGGAAAAAATATTTTGAAGTTGTTTTTTTGCTGTAACATAACATAGCCTTTGCAGACTAGTGTAGAAATTGATACCTAGAAGGAGGATGCTTTCATTGCAAAAATAATAAGTGTTATTTTATTGGGGCTTTTATAGACGACATAAAAACTGGTACCTAGAAGGAAGGTTCTTTCATAACAAAAATAATAAATGTTATTGTATTGGGAACAGATATTAAGAAAGCTTTTCTGAAAGGCTGGGGAAAAAATCAATCCCTATAAACAGTGGTAAAAAATTGTTAAAAAAAAGTTATATGAAATAATTTTGAAAGTTGCTAATGCACCTAAAATTTATAGCTTTAAGGTTACAATTTGAAATTAAAAGTTAGCATAGTGTTTATTAGTAGCTACTGGCTGCATTTGAAAAGGTATTTTAAGAGGGAGATGAACTCATTAAATAGTTCACAAGCTGAAATAAAAGAGAACAGAGTCCAGAAATTTGAAGATTTTCATGATTAATAAAATGAAAATCTCAACAACTACCTATAAAGAAAAATACTGAGAAATCTTTTGAGGAAAAAGATGAATTATCTCAGTGTTGCCTAAAGAACCAAAATTACTAGAATGACTGACACACTTATTGTTAAAACTTCCTAATGGTATAATTTATTTCAGAATGAAGATCAAAATAAGGTTGTGGAGACCTGTAATGCCTTTCAATTAGACAAAGTGTTCAAGGAAAGTGAAAATGTGGCTGAGCCTGGTTAGGTCAAGATACCCAAAATTAGAATGTTTTCAGTTTGTCTTCTTTACTTGTAATATACAATTAAAGTTTCTCCATGTCTTTCAATGGCTTCATAGCTACTTTAAAAAAAAATACTGAGTAACATTTCATTGCTTGGATGTAATACAGTTTATTTATCAATTCACCTACTGAAGAATATCTCAGTTCACTTTTAATTTGGGTGATAATGATTAAAGTGCTATAAAGATCCAAATGATCTATTATACTTTCTATATTATTAGGTTGGTGCAAAAGTAATTGCAGTTTTTGCCAATAACTTTTAATGGCAAAAACCCCAATTATTTTTGCATCAACCTAATACTTAGTATTCTACTATAGAGAAGAGCTTTCCTTTCAGTCATTTCTATTTGCTGTTTGTTTAGCATTTAGTTTCAGAGTCATAGATTCTTTAGTGCAATGTGTTATTACAATCATGTTATATTTTCACATACAAATGTATGTTTTCAGCAATAATCACAAGCAACTGTACATAAGATTATGTTCTTTGAGGAATGCTGTTTTGTATCTCACACAAGTAAGAAAGCTGCAATTTTAAATCAGCTGAAATAGGAAAGAACAGCATCTATTGAGGCCCCCAAATCAGAGCTTAACCACTTTGCAAGCCCCATAGTCATAATTAACATAGGCAAGCGTCATTAATGGATACTAAAACTACTATGTGAAAAGTCTGTTAAAGAATAGTATATAGCCAGGCATGGTGGCTCATACTGTAATTCAGGAGGCTGAAGTAGGAGGATCTCTTGAGTCCAGGAGTTTAGAAACCAGCCTGAGCAACATAAAGAAACCTTGTTTCTACAAAAAGAGAGGGAGAAAGGGAGGGAGGGAGGGAGGGGGAGGGGGGGAGAGAGAGAGAGAGAGAGAGAATTTTAAAAAGAAAAAATAGTATGTTTATGTAGGCCTGAATCAAATCATTAGGAAATAATCAGAAAACATCCAATTGGGGGACATTTTTATAAAGCACCTGGTCTATACTGTCAATGCCTGCTACTCTGTTGTAGCTCCACTATTTATCAGCAACCTGTTTTCTCCTGCATAATGAGTGTTGTCTTCCCCTATGCCTTCATTTTCTACATCTGTATCTCAGACAAATGGTTTTTAAATACATTTCATAAAATCTTGTCCACGTTACTTGTAACTTCTATAGCGGTAATACAATGTGCTTGAAAATATGTATTAATTTATTTGCAATCAGCTTACATAAATGCAAGAGAGATAATTTACTCTGTCTTGTTCTTCTCCTCTCATCTCTATACAATATAAATGTTACATGTATTTTGCAACATCACATTGCTATGGGGCTGTCATTCTGAGCTGTTCCAGCGAGTAAAACCAATTCTTTCCCCTCTCCCCTGAAGACAGTCAGCTATCTGACAAGCTGGTTTCTTTCCTTACCTATATGTAACAGCTTAAAGCATCAGAATATTTCAGCTTGACTTTTCAATTATATAGCTTAGCAAGCCAACATATTCAGGAGGTGCACTTAAATATTCAACCTGAAATGAACTGAGTATTAAAGTAAGCTACTAACTAAAGTAACTTTACTTGATGTATTTGCCATAAGAAGTGACAATTCATCTAATTAGTTTGCAACACAGGAGTCATTCTGAACTATTTCCCTCTGCTGTGTGTTTTTGTCATAGTAATGGTGCATGTAGCATCCACTGATACACATCGTTTCTGTGAAAGGATAACTTCTACCAGCCAACATTTTAACAAGTATTTTTTTTTCTGTGCCTAACGATGTGCATAAAATATTGTATTAAGTCTGTGAACATCAAAATGATATATTTTGGGACAGTATGACATACCTCCAATACCTAACACCATGCAGCAGTTAGCCATCAGTGACCTCTGAGTTCCAGAAGACAGGCTTCAAGAAAGATGCAATTAAGGTTGTACAGCCCCACCCTTTCCTATCTTTCTTAAAAATACATCAGCGTGCCAGTGAGAGAATAAGATGATTAAGGATAACCTGGAGTCCACCCCAATTATCATTTTAGAAAAGCAAATCATTGGCAAATTTTGGAAGTTCAGCTGGTTTTGGCAGCAAATGTTTATACGATCCCGCTGATTATAATCCAAGCAATTGTACTGCTGTGCTTTGTTGTGACTCATTGGGTTGGACCAGTTTTCAAAGGTTTCCAAAGGGGCTGAGACTGACAGCAGACCTTGAAGGGTGAGGGAATTTAAAGGAACAAAGGAAGACTGAGAGTTCTCTGTGTCTGGGGTTAGGACAAGGGAACAATATGGGGAACTCAGGAGTAACTGCCACACATGTAGATTATAAGATGAAGTCCTAGAAGGATTTTTTTTTTTTAATGAAGTCTTACTCTGTCACCCAGGCTAGAGTGCAGTGCAGTGGTGCTATCTCGACTCACTGCAGCCTCTGCCTCCTGGGTTCAAGTGATTCTCCTACCTCAGCCTCCCGAGTAGCTGGGATTAAGGGCACCCACCACCACACCCAGCTAATTTTTGTATTTTTAGTAAAGATGGAGTTTCACCATGTTGGCCAGGCTGGTCTCAAACTCATGACCTCAGGTGATCCATCCGCCTCAGCCTCCCAAAGTGCTGGGATTACAGGCATGAACCACCTAAACAGATGTGTTTAAAGCAAACTGAATGCAGACTAAAGTATTTGATTTCTTCTTTAGGCAAAGCAGCAGGTTTTCATTCAAACTTTTCTATTTTTAATGCTGTCATGTAATGACATCTTTTAAAATGCATTTCAATTGTCTTTCTTTGGAAGAGTTATGGGAAGTAGGAGGAGAAAGGAGGAAAGTCACGTATGGTAAAGATTCAGACTGTGTTGATAAGTTTGCTTTGTGGGCAACAACAATAACAAAACAAAAATTGGAAAAATGAGATTGCTGAGCCTTTGTGTTATTTACTGCTTAATGGAATGTTGGCTGAAAACAGTAAAATAAATATTTCATTTTACCCAGCATCACTTAAAAAGTAAATAAGGCACAGAGCCCATCTAAGACAATTGCTGTGGCAGTATGGGGTAGATATAATGGGCTTCAAGCAGCATAAAGTTTAAGCTAATATGCTTGGACTTAGGAGTTTATATCTTCCTCTCCCCTAAAACAGCCTCCTATATGATTCCCATAAATAAAATCATCTCAGTGGGTTTCGCAAACCAGTGTAAATAAGTGCAGGTTCGCCTTAAAACTCCGGCTACATGTTAAAGCCAAATCAACACCCTTTGCTAATAGAGAGGTTCAAAAAAGATAAAACACCTACCTCAAAGCCCGAGCGCTGGGTTGGTGCTATTTCATGTCAAGGCAATTACAGTGATGGTATTAGGAAGATCAGGGCAGAAGTGGTGTTGTCATACCTGGGAAGGGAAAGCAAGCCTTTAAGCAATCATGTAGAGCACGCGGGACATCGTAAAGCTGGGGAAGGAACAAAGCTTTGCGCTGTCGGAATATTGATCTGCTCCAGAAGGTGCAGGGAACTGCACTACGGTGATTGCCTTCCCTGCTGGGTTTAGAGAGGTCTGAAAGAATACAGTATTGATCTGGCCCCGTTCCCGAGAAGTAACTTACAGATAAGCCCTGACTGAAGGCCACCAACTTTGAGACAAGCTGTTGCAAAGAAACGCCGTTTTCCACACAGCCAACATCAGCTAATGCTGAGTGGGTGATGATTAGAATATACTTAAGCTGGGCCCAGAACAAGCTGACCCTGTGCTTTCCTCCCCACACCTACATCACAGGTGTCTCCCAATTCTGAAAGAGGTAAAACCATGGCCTGGGTGGAGAGGAGGGCAAGGCACAGTGGGAGTTCCACGTGGAAGCTGTTGTATATCAAGGAAGAAAGATGGGAGTTTCTGAAGTTTTGCTTGTTTGTTTGAAACCACTCACAGCCTCATGTACTTCATCTTTTAAATGGGAATAATAATGCCAATTTCACAGATCATGGTCTGGATTCCAGGCGATAAATAAACCTACTTAGAAAATGGCATCTCTGGCCGGGCACAGTGTCTCACAGTTGTAATTCCAGCATGTTGGGAGGCCAAGGCAAGTGGATCACTAGAGGTTAGGAGTTCGAGACCAGTCTGGGCAACATGGCGAAACACCGTCTCTACTAAAAATACAATATACATATATATATATATATATATATATATATATATATATATATATGGAGGCATCTCTTAACATTCAGGGTGAGGTTTGGAGGGAAACTTATCATCTACTATCTGCTTCATCTGAGAAAGACTCTCTTCCAGCTATTAAAATTCTATGACTCAAAAAAGAACATTTTTCAGAGAAAGGGAAAGCTTCCACATTTCTGCTTCCAAAGCTGTGTGTAGAACTCGTTTGCCAGTGAGTCTGTGTTTATTACCAAACCTCAAGTTCAAACTTGGAAGTAAAAATACAGTCTCCTGAAAATTCTTCTCTGACATGCCACTCAGCTGCTCATGGTTTCCTGGTGGAAATTACTGTAACCACAGGATTTCACATGGTTTCAACCTCTAGCCACAAGTTAAAATTAGCCAGATGTTACTGAGAAGTTAGGGAACTAGGCTGTTTATACTTGGATCTGGTTATACTGAGTGTGTAACCAGATCCAAATATAACAATTCACTTGCAATGAGATTTTGGGGTATTGCAACTTAATTTTCCCCATGTTAAGAATATTCCATTGGCTAAAAAAGATGGCTCCAAGATCATTACTCCTTTGGGAAACAGAGCCCAATAGTTCTGCCATGGTTCTATAAATCCTCATCCTGTGAAGGACAACACTTTCACTCTGGCGTACATTGTGTGTAAAATGGGGTACATCCCTACAACCCGGTACTAAGGATTTTACAAGTCACGTATCCAAAAACAGACCTGGTGTCCTGGGTGTTTTGTCTTTCTCAATCATCAGGTCATCGTAGCTATGATGTAACAGTTTCATCAGTTCAGCCTATTATGTAAACATGACTTGTGCTAGAGTGTTTAGACAAAAATAGATTTTGTAATTTTGTTACATTTGCTTCACTTCAAAAATTACAGGTAGACATGATACCAGTTCCAACTCTCCGGTTACTTTCTCCAACACTGAGGGGATCTAGAGCAAAGCCACCTGCATGTCTTCAGCACTTCAAGATCAGGATTATATCAGCAATAACATCTCACAATTTTCCAAGTGCTCCCTCCCTATGCACTGTCTTTTTCCTCCCACCCAAGGCCCCCAGGGTGGGTGTACACATTCATCCCTGCTTCATTTGATCCACCTCTGCTTGGCCACTGCTGGACTTTTTTCCCAGGCAAAAGGAGAACCCCCAGGAGAGTGAATACACTGGACCAAGGAGCTGCAGAGGTAGTTTGATTTCACCACAATCATTTCATCTCTCTTAGCAAAAACCCCCTGGGCTTGCCCTGTAGTACACACACTTGCCTTTGTTCACGCAGCTTAAATAGAACACTTCTTCAAAATTTAACTCAGCTCTCGGAAACATTTAAAGGAAATGTGGCCTATAATTATTCAATGTCAGATGCAAGATGTTGAATCCTTTGTCCAAGGTAAATATTTAATCTTTTAAAGTTTCTAGGAGATACCTTTGAAGCTGTGATCAAATTTGTAAAGCCCAATGAAAATATATACTAAAAATGTATCTGCCATGAGAAAAAGGAAGTTTATTAAAAGCATTAGCGCTTCTCTTTCTCGGGAGCACACTGTTAGTCAGTCCTACACCTCTTGTATACTACCATGCAAAAGGCATTCAGACAATTGATTTTCTGAAATTTATTCATATTGAAAAGTCGTTTTAATTAACTTCTTTTCAGGAGGACACGATTTTCAAAACTAACATGTTTCATGACCAAGATTCCCAATCTACAAAGGTAAAAATGCACAGCAACTTAAAAACTCCCTATCAATAAATTTTAAAAAGTGCCGAATGTGTCGTAAATAGAAACCCCCTCATGCAGCAAGCCTGCTGTCTCCCTGACATCCCATGTATGCGAGCACAATAATTACCCATGTGATAAGAGCATCAAGGTCCTTTGTTATATCTTTCAGCCCTCCTTTTTTCTTCCTTCCCTAGCTTTGCTGTTCTAAGAGAAGTCAAGGTGAAGGGTTTAATGCCTCTGAAGCTGGGGCAAGAAAACAATCGCCTTCTCCAATGGTCAGTAAAGAATACAAGGGCACAGTTAAAACAGAGCCACTGAAGTGAACAACCTTGATGCGACCAACAGGAGAAACACCCCCTCCAGGTACTCCCCACAGGGTTCCCTTTTGGTTGCAAGGCCAGGAAGGTCAGCCCATCTCTATGGCACTCCCTTTCAAGTGTGCGGACTGCACGCCAGCAAGCAGGTTCCGCATGACTGCTGGTGCGCGGGGAAACTCCTCAGAGAGAGACCCCTGACCCACCAGAGGGGCGAAAACCAAAGCAGGGATCAGGCACTTTATTTCAAGAGTATGTGTATGTGTCTCTCTCTGTGTGTGTGTGTGTGTGTGTGTGTGTGTGTGTGTGTGTGCTACAAAGGCAAAGGAGGCCTTTCAAATCTAGAAACACTATACACATACATATATTAGGCAGAAGAAAAATAGGAAACAGAAATTAGAGAAATCACCTTTTCACTGGTAAATAACTTATAAGACACTGAGAATATCGGTGGCCCTGCAGGGTTGAAAATTTCTATTTTAATTGTATCCTGCTGTTTTGAAGGAACACAGTTGAATATAGCAAGATTTATACTTTTGCATACAATATACAATTTTCCAGATAAGCTCTTCTCTCTAAGCTGGTATCCTTCCATCAGCATTTGATACATGAAAAGTTGAATACAAAAAATGCTGGAAAATGGCCGGGTGCAGTGGCTCACACCTGTAATCCCACCACTTTGTGAGGCCGAGGTGGGCGGATCACCTGAGGTCAGGAGTTTGAGACCAGCCTGGCCAACATGGTGAAACCCTGTCTCTACTAAAAATACAAAATTAGCCGGGAGTGGTGGCACATGTCTGTAATCCCAGCTCCTTGGGAGACTGAGGCAGGAGAATCACCTGAACCCAGGAGGCAGAAGTTGCAGTGAGCCAAGATCGTGCCATTGCACTCCAGCCTGGACAAGTGAAAAACCCAACCCAAAAAAAAAAAAAAAAAAAAAAACTAGAAAACGCCATTCTTGCTATCGGGCAGAAGATTCTGCCTGCTATAGATGCACAGTGCTGTAGTCTTTTGCTGTATTATGCCTCCTTGGCTGCTTACAGCTTCCTTGATGAGCCGAGTCAGCAAAATCATCACAATATGTGGGTGTCCCTAGCAAGTTTCTGAAGCTAGAGCAACTTGGACCTAAACATTCCCTGTTTGCGAAAGAGCAGCAATTACGTTGCCTCGCAAGCAGTCTTGCTCATAAGCCAATGACTGATGAGCATCAGACACTCTCAAGCAGCTCTTGGAACACGTTGGAAGATGTTTCAGATGCTGGGTGTGTTGCTGAGCACTGTGGTTACATTCCATTTCTGAATCTACTGAGAGGCTCTGAGTTGAAAGAAATTAGAGTCTTGCTGTGATGAAAGTGTGGGGGTGATTGAGCTTAGGCTGGAGAATCTTTGTGATGGGAATACTGTAAAGCAGGCTCAAGCATCATGCCTTCATTCAGCAAATATTTACCGAGCTTCGACTTTATTTCAGTCGCTGAATATACTAAAATGTGATGGACACAGCCCACCCCTCATGGAGCTCACATCCTAGGAAGGATGGTGACATGAGACAGGTCACTCTCCTTGTGTTGAGTCCCCTTAAAAAAAAGAAATGGATATCAATGGAGCATATAAGAAAAGCAAACCTAGGCTGAGGAATAGGGAAAGCTTTCTGGAGAACAGGGTGTTTACATGATAAAGGAAGAAAATTAATGTACATTTCACTTATAAACCTCATTCGACTGCTTCTTTATTATGACTATCAGATGTATCTGTGTAATAATTTCCACACTCATTTTCTCCTTTCCAACCCTGCGCTGACTTATCTTTTGTTAGCTATCACAACACACTAGTTAGATTTGAAATCTCTCTTTCAATTAAATTTGGAAATCCCAGCAGGGAAATATTCTCAGTAGCCTGTCTGATTAAGAATAGAAAAAGAATTGTATTTTGACATCTATAATCAAACCTCACAAAATAGCCCCAATTGATTTTAAAATTCACGCTTCAACCATATAATACATTTTTATTTTCAATAGCACTAGCTCTGTAACACTTTACACCTTACTATCATTTTCTAATTTATTGCCCTTACAAAATTCTCTAATGATTATGAAATTGACAAGATGAATTTTAAGCAGAAATGAGCTTCCTTTTTTCACAAAATTTGGGACATTAAATTCTTGCTTTATTGAACTAACAAAAAAGGTATCCAATTTTGTGTAGATACGGCTTAAGGTGGTTGCAGGTATAGTCTTTTTGGAAGAAGGAAATAAGACTTTTAAAATGTGGAATTTGAAGATAAACTATGAAACGTTGACTTGCCAACTTGCAGCATATCAAAATGTCAGCTCAGCACCTTAAAGAGTCTAAAGGGATTATTCAGCCCAATTTTCTCTGTGCTTAATGCCATATCCTGGCTTAGAGTCAGGTTCCTTTGGAAGAACATTTAACTCTTTCTGCACATCATTATTCCAT